CCCCAGTGGCTGCGCTCCCATGCGCCCACCGCACCCATTTCGGCACACCCCTCACACGTTTCGTGGCCCCATAGGGAGCTCCACCGAAGGCCCCAGTGGCTGCGCTCCCATGCGCCCACCGCACCCATTTCGGCACACCCCTCACACGTTTCGTGGCCCCATAGGGAGCTCCAGCGAAGGCCCCAGTGGCTGCGCTCCCATGCGCCCCACCGCACCCATTTCGGCACACCCCTCACACGCTTCGTGGCCCCATAGGGAGCTCCAGCGAAGGCCCCAGTGGCTGCGCTCCCATGCGGCTCACACCAGCTGCCCACATGCGCCCACCGCACAGATTTCGGCACACCCCTCACACGTTTCGTGGCCCCATAGGGAGCGCCATCGAAGGCCCCAGTGGCTGCGCTCCCATGCGCCCACCGCACCCATTTCGGCACACCCTCACACGTTTCGTGGTCCCATAGGGAGCTCCAGCGAAGGCCCCAGTGGCTGCGCTCCCATGCGCCCACCGCACCCATTTCGGCACACCCCTCACACGTTTCGTGGCCCCATAGGGAGCTCCAGCGAAGGCCCCAGTGGCTGCGCTCCCATGCGCCCACCGCACAGATTTCGGCACACCCCTCACACGTTCCGTGGCCCCATAGGGAGCGCCATCGGAGAAGATACTCACAATTGCGGTACTCGCAACTGCATCTGGTTGGGTCCTTCGCCAGGATAATTGTGCCCTCCAGAGTGGGGATCGACCTCCGAAAGTGAAGCCCACGATCCTCTGGGATGTTCTGAGCTCTCAATATTGAACCTCTGGAATCCCGCGCAGCTCTGCAAAACCCGCCCCTGAGTTGACGCGCTCGAGACGAAGGCAAGATGAGGACGCACTCAGAGCAGGAGAATCCGAGGACTGCTGCAGTGAAGAAACAGGCATTATTATTATTCCTCCTTTTCTTCTTCTCTTCTTCCTCTTCTTCTTCTTCTTCTTTTTCTTCGCCTTCTTCCTCCTCTTCTTTTTCTTCATCCTTTTCTTATTGTTCTGCTTCTTCCTCGCCTTCTCCGCCTTCTCTGGAGCAGGAGGAGTGGGAAGTCTCCAACAAGCCGGCGGGTCTGGAGGCGTCGGGCGCCTCGGCCGTTCCAGAGCACTCCAGGGACGCTCCGCAGCGATCTCTCGTCCTTCAAAAGGACGACGACGACGACGACGAAGACGACGACGACGACGAGGACGACGACGACGACGACGACGACGACGACGACGAGGACGACGACGACGAGGACGAGGACGAGGACGAGGACGACGACGACGACGTACCCCGATCCGTAACTACCCCCATCCCCTCTGCCTCCCATCCCTGAGCCCGACTTTGCCCCCGTCGTGGGCCTCCCACCGTGCCCCCCCCCTCCCCCGTCGCGTGCCTACAACCCTCGTCACAATTTACATCCCAAATGTCTTACGTGGCTGAACTGTTTGTGGGGAGATACTGAACAGAATAGCGGTGACTGCGAGGTACTTGTATGCGCCGCCCCTCCAATGTCGGTCATCATCGAACTTCCGAGTCGTTCCAGTCAGACCACTTTTGCCCTGGCCCCGACATTGGAGGGGCGTCTATCGACATTGAAGGGCGCGCCGACATCGCAGGGGCGTGGTCGCCATTTTTGAGGTTCATTTTGACGAGGGTAGTAGGCTTAGATCAGGCATGTCTCCCTACAGGCGGATTTTGGACGAAAGATAAGAGGTACTCACAAATATCCCAAAATAGTCAAAACATAATCGAAAAATCATCCTCCGACTATTTTTCTAATATTTTGGAACTTTCCTCCTGTAGCGGGACAGGCCCGACTTAATCCAAGGCCTACCTGGCTCTCCAGAAGAAGAAAGCAAAACGGCGTAACCATAGACTTCCGGAGGTCCACGACGATTTCTTGCATCGACGCTGGATCCTCTGGTGCGCTTTGCACGCCTGGGGGGGGGTCCAGCACCGATCCAGGATATCTGCCCGGAGTTCCGAAGGAGTAAATTGATGTACTTCAGTGCTTGCGCTGAAAAGGTCCTAACGGATGTTTGAACATTTTTCGAAAATTCCCGGCCGATTTCGGTGTGCGGCCAAGTTCCCGGGTTCCTAATTCCGGTTTCCCGGGTTCCCGCTTGCTGGTTCTGGGCCGATTTCGGTGGGCGGCGGGGTTCCAGGGTTTCCGGGTTTCTGGGCTCCCGGGTTTCCAGGTTCCTGGTCGATCTCCTTATCGACCAGTCTCACCATCGATCTCACTACCCACCTCTCTATCGATCTCACTATCGATCTCACAATCGATCCCACTATAGATCGCACGAAAGATCTCACGATCGATCTCACTGAATCGACTCCACTATCGGTTTCGCGATCGACCTTACTATCGCCCTCACTATCGATCCCACGATCGATCCCACTGTCGATCTCACAATCGATCTCAAGATCCACATCACGAGCTCTCAAACCATCCACTGACTGGGGTTCCTCTCTGGTGTACTATGTAGTTTTTGCTTCTCCGATTCTCGGCGCGTCGATCAGTTCGCTAGGCACCGGCGCACAGATTCTCCTCCCACTGGATCTGAGCCTCTCGAGCCCTGCGAGGTGCGCGCTCTGCACGACGCCGCCCTGTCCCCAGAGGCTCCAGCTGGTCAGAGGATCGAAAGCCTCCGCCTCGGAGGCCGAACCTCCGCTCCGACAGGGAGGAAACCTTCCGGAAGCGAGAGAGGCAAGCACATCCATAAGGGAAGCCGAACCTCCGATTTGGGAGGCTCTCGATCCTCCCGGCACCCCTCGATGGGAGCCTCGCCCTCCCCTCGGAGGCGCCTTCTCTTTCGGAGGCCTCTGGAGGTTGCGGGGAGCCTCGGAGGGCAGATCTGCGCGTCGGAGCAGCATCGCGGCCGACGTCTTCGCCGTGCCTCGGGCCGGAGACCGATCCGGGTCGAGAGACTCCGCCGAAGACGCGCGGACTGAGCTGGATCGAATTGTGACGCAGAAGAACATACTGCAACCATCGTCAGAATTAGCCTGAATGTCTTACGTAGCCGAACTGTGTGCGGGAAGATATCTAATTTTAGTAGCGATGAGTGCGAGGTACTTGTATGCACCGCCCCCCTCCGATGTCGGTCATCATCGAACTTACGACTCGCTCCCGGTCAGACCACATTTGCCCTGGCCCCGACTTTTTTGTTTTTTAACCCTAAACCCTAAGAGCTAAGAACCTATTAATATTTAAATCCTAACACCCCTTATGCCGCCCCTTATGGCGCCCTAATTCCCAAACCTCCACCATCCCTGTCAAATGATACCCTGCGGTGCACATCTCGCCATGCCGGCTAATTCCTAAACTCGCACGATCCCGGTCAAATTATACCACGCGGTTCCGCCATCTCGCACGATCCCTGTCAAATAATATCCTGCGGTGCATATCCCGCCATGGCGGCTAATTCCTAAACTCGCACGATCCCTGTCAAATGATACCCTGCGGTGCACATCCCGCCATGGGGGCTAATTCCTAAACCCGCACGATCTTTGTCAAATGATACCATGCGGTGCACAGCCCCCTTGGCGCGGTGCCGTCCTGCTCTGGGATTGCGCCCCGTGCGAGCGGGCAAGGGGTCCCCGCTGGCCCTGCGCGGCAGGCGAGAAGGCAGGGAGCGGCAGCGTAAGACATTTCTAAATCCAAAGCTACAAGCAAACGTATAGTGAGGACATGGCGGCTAATTTCTAAACCCGAACGCTGCGGTCATGCGCTGAACGCTGCCGATGGACGACGACGACCGACGACGACGATGATGAATTCTATATGTCTAGGGTCATGGGTGGCTGGGATACATCCAGAAGGCTTCGGGTTGAGCTAGTGGACCCTAAACCCTAAACCCCAACATTGGAGGGGCGTCGTATCGACATTGAAAGGCGCGTCGACCTCGAAGGGGCTTGCCCACCATTTTTTAAATTAATTTTGGCGAGGGTGGTAATACTATGTATTCACCTCGGATGCGTACACCCGACCCGACCATACAGTACAACCATCTTGTAGTATATCGTTTCTCGAGCGGTATGGCCAGAGTGCCGGCCATGGAGCTAATACTACAAGATTTCTCGGCACGTAGGTGTTAGTGTGTAGCGGTTGACGCCGGCAAATCGCGAGATCAGGTCGGATCGGCCACGGATCGGATCGCCAGCGAATCGTCCCGAGCCGTCTCGAGCTCGGACCTCCGCCGCCGGCTCCGGCTGGCCCTGGCCGAATCCGGTGAGCCGAGCCGAAGCGACCCGTCTCGGAATCGCGGCCCCCGCCGGCGGATCGAAGCGCATCGAACCGGGTCGCGGGCTGCTCTGCTGGCAAGGCTCGTGCCACGCTGGCCTCACCGGGCTCCCCGAGCAGTCTCGGTCCCAGCTGGCCCCATCGCGCCCCCCGAAGAGTCCTCGGCGGTCTCGAACTCAGCACCCCCGCGCCGCCTCCGGCGGCGCCCGGCGCCCCCCCTGGGCGCTCCGCGCCACAGGGGGCGGAGATCGCCGAGGACAGGGGCTGCTCGGGGGGCCTGTTGAGGCCAGCTGGGGCTGCCCGTCGAGGCCAGCCGGGACTGCCTGGGTGTGCTGCCCGTGCGCGACCCGTCACGCTCTCGTTCGGAGTCCTTCATGGCGTCG